TTGCAACTGGTTTTTTAATCAGGGTCGTCACCCTTAATTTTTATCCTAAAGGAATGGAGTATACAGGAATAACCCTAAAAAGTTTCAGAGATTTTAGGTTTGACTCGGTTCTGGACGAGGGGAAGGTGTTAGGCACCCCTTATCTACCTTGTTCACAAGTATACTAGGTTTAGAAGCACTTTTTAAGAAAATAGGGTTTTAAATATTTTTTTAGGGGAAAAGGGTTTGTTTTTTAGTTAGGGGAAAAGGGTTTGTTTTTTAGTTAGGGGGGAAAAGGGTTTGAATTTTAGTTAGCGGGACTCGCCACGATTTTTGATCGTATGCCTACGTATCCTCATAGGAGGAATCAGAGTCCCATTTCGTAGTTCGCGGTTGGTTTGTGTTTTTTATGGATTACGCGAAATATTTTAATTTTCCCCGCACTTAGTTCGAATGTGCAGATAGCGAAGATTTTGAACTAAGCGCGAAGTTAATTAAAAACAACTCTTTGCATTCCTTTTTGAAGATTAATTATATGATTTAATTTATTACAAAAAAATAATTTGATGTTTGTTTGCGTATTTTTTGACGTATATAACCGAAGAGTCTGATATAGCTCTCTTATCACATGGCCAGATATTGACCACGCGTCACTAGCAGATATTATAATTTTAATGAATCGTGGGTTTTAATACTTTGATATAAAATATAAAATTGAATCAAATGAGGAGAAATGTTTTTAAGTATGTAGTTAAAAGATATGATTTAATATAAATGAATATTATATTTTTAAATGAATTTAAAAATAATTAATTATGCATAACAATAAATAAATAATATTATAGTCATGAAAATATCAAAATAATAATAATAATAAGATAACAACAATAAAAAAAATGAAAATATAAATGAAATTATATGAAAGAATTAAAAAAAAATTAAATTCACAGGGGGGTTTAAATTAACTTAAAGTAGTAAAATTGGGAGGTGTGGATAAGAGGGGGGGTTGAATTCAGATTTTTGAATTCAGGCCCAATGGTCAAAGGAGGTGCATAACTCTCTACACATTAGCAAAATAAAAAATGGGGTGTTGTTAACGATTGGGTCAGGCCTAGAGGGTGTTTGAAATAGTTTCATTTGGGTTGTGTGCGGTGAGGAGCATTGTAATACTGTGGATACGCATGTTCTGGGCTTTGGATGAGGATTACGCGGTTAATGATGAGGGTGTATGGTAGAATCCGTGGGTTCGCGCATATTGGATCAAGCAACACGACATATTTTTGTTTTATTGTTTTTTCATTATCCACCTTCCCGGGAGGACCCTTTTTGACCACATCATCATCAATTGATTCACCATCTTTCTTTTTGTAGCGTGATGCCTTGCACTTCGGACAATGATTATAGTTTACATACTCTTTTCTGTATAATATGCAATAATTAGGGCATGCATGTATCTTTTCATATTCCAAACCCATCGGACACAATATTTTCTTCGCCTCGTAATAACGACTTGGCATTACATTACCTTCTGGAAGCATTTCGGTCAAAAATTCAAGCAACTCGGTAAAACTTATGTCAGTCCACCCATTCTTTGCCTTCATATTAAATAATTTTAACACGGCTGACAGACGTGTAAATTTTTTGCATCTCGGGTATAATGGTTTATCCTTGTCACTGCATAGAATATCATACGCATGTGCCCTCTTAAACGAATCTTGTCCAATATCACGCATCATGTCTTCTAGACGATCATCCATTTCTACACTAACATCATCTCTTTGAGATACATTTGACTTTGCTACTACTTGACCGTGCCATATCCATTTTGTACAACTTTGATAAATCCCTACACAAATTAGATGATCCATGATTTCTTTCTTACTACGTTTTGGTTCTTTATTTGCACAACGAACACATGGACAGAAAAAAAGCGCAGGAAGACTTTTTTCAGCATTACTTTCAGCAAACTGTAGAAATTCCATCACTCCATGTTCGTACTCATCACTTAATCGATTAGCTCTCATCCAACTACGATCCATAATTATGTTCACACGGAGGAAGGTCTGACGAAGGGTGTGCCCGCGGCTGCGCTGCTTCACGGAGATTCCGAGATCGCAAGTTGTGCTGCTTCGCGGAGAAAGAAAAATAGAATCAAATTTCAATGGCAAGGTGATAACTCTATTAAGTTTGATAGGTTAAAGATAAACTGTGTGCTTCTGAGAGGACCATTAACGTTTCATTTGGAGGTTTCTAAGGAGACAATTTCTCTAATGAAAAAGAATTTCATATACACAACATGTACTATATTCTTAACTTTATACAAAATATATACTATTTATAACTAATTAGACTTAATTAACCTCTCTAAGAATAATAAACTATTTAGTAATTAAAAAACAGATATGAACAAAGAAATGGATTCACCAAGCCACTGAGTTAGTATCTAGTATAATCTTCTAATTGTTTTTATATGTACTTCTAATTTTTTATAATGTATCTCAATAGCAAGCAAAGCAACAAGAATATCTTAAAAACTTTTTTGTATATATATCTCTTAGAAATCTATAGATATACAATGAAGTTGAACAAAATAGAAAATTTCTTACCGGAATCGTAGTTCGACGGCGGGGGGGGGGGGGGGGGGGGGGTTCGGAAAAGGCGGAGGGGATTTCTTATCAGAACCGTCTTCGTGAACGGCGTGAAAGGGCGGCGGGCGTTCGGGGCGGAGACGGACAAAGGGCGTTCGTAGCGGAGACGAACGTGACGGTGTTGGCGGTGGAGCCGAATGGACGGTGTTGGCGGAGCGGCGGGCGGAGACGGAGGACGGACTATGTAGCTGAGCGGAGTGCAGATGTTGTTCGTAGGCGGAGCAGATTGGTTTTGAAGAGAAAATAACTAAATGTACAACAGTAGAGTTTATTTCTTAAATATATATTATAGTTTTTATATCGGTGGAACGAAATAACTGATGTAATAGTTATTTCGGAATAATGTTTTTACATTGGTTCTAGTCAATAACCGATGTAATGGTTATTTTTTACATCGGTGGAACGCAAGGCCCGATGTAAGGGTTTTCTGGTTTTTTATTTACCAATCTGCCACCTAGTTTTTTACATCGGTGAAACGCAAGGCTCGGTGTAAGGGTTTTCTGGTTTTTTATTTACCAATCTGCCACCTAGTTTTTTATTTACAATACCGCCACCGTGTTTTTTTTATAAAACCTTTTACATCGGTTTATTAATTGGACCGATGTAATAGCCAGCGAAAAATATTTTTTTAATATTTTTTATATCATTGCAAATAAATACCTGATGTAAAAAAATTTTAATTTTATATTTTACATCATATATTTTTATACCTGATGTAAAGTCCTTTTCTCAAATGTCATTTTTTTAGTAGTGTTTTTTATAAAGGCTGATGTTTTAAAAAACACTTAAAGGAGAAACACACAATAGAAAAACAAAATGAACTATATAAATACTTATGTGACACTTGTTGCGGGGATGTTGATAATTTTAACATTCTTAAGTGGGGGAAAGAGAATTGCACCGGTTATCTCATATTAGCAACAACGGTTAAGAATATCTTGATAACATCTATTTCAAATAGTGCTTTTAGCGCGGGATATATGAGCTCTGTGAATCTAAAAATAGAGGCACTTGTTTGTTTTTAAAATGATTGAAGAATATAAGATAATTGATTCAATTATTTCAGGTACTTTATTAATCAAAATTTTATCTTTTTTTAATATTATTTTAATAAATTTAAGCCTCATTATTTTTGTAATAATTTGTAGAGTTTCATGGAGTTGTTACTTGTGAAGCAACTGCTCCCGGACAAGCTGGGCATGTTTAATTCAATCTTATTTGCTAACCCTTTATTAATTGGCTTTTTGAATATTTTGTATTTTTTTGGATTCAAACATTTACTAAACCATTTTATTTATTATATTTGCAGCACATTTTTGAATTTTTTGGTGTCATGAATGACTCTTAATATTAAGCCATGAATAACACAGCCAATCACTTATAGATTTTGACAGAATATCAATTTTTGAGTCGTAATTGAACTTCACGAGTTAATTTCGGGTAAGGAATTAATGTGTTACAGTTTTCCATTCTTATTATTTTCTAGGATGAATCTTTAACTTTTGATATCTTATGTATTTTTTCAAGGTATGAGTATGTCCATTGCACATGTAGAAGAAAGTTGGCAAATGGCTGAGTTTTATAGCAACAAAATAATCTTGTAAGTTCTGCAAAACACTTTGAACATTTTTCAGATATTTAATAACAGTTTTTTTTTAAAAGTAAAATTTTGAAAAGCCTAATATTTGACCCATCTAATGAATAAATAAGTAGATTTGTCACCAAATAAATATCTGAAAAAATATTTAAAATTGGCCAGCATTGGCCCAATATATAATAAAAAACTATTGATTAAAAAACTGAGTTATGAACCCGAAACCGAAAAAAAAACAAATCTTGAACCGGACAAAAATAGACCAATATTTTTAAATCGAGGGTTAGATTGGTTTGAGGTTTTAGGCTCGAAAACCGAACTTGTCCGACCATTGTGTGCTATTTATTAAATTGACTTATATTGTTATTGTGAGAGAGTATACTATTATTGACTTAGTGTGAAGATGATATATTAGGAATCCTTCAAATGAGACAATCATGTTTGAGGTATAAATGTAATAGTAAATGTACACATTTCTTCCAAGAATAACTCAAAATTGTAATTTGTTACATTGTGGAGACAATCTTGTTTGAGGTATACCTCAATTTTGATAAGCCTATCTGCTAGCGATCACTAAAAATGGTTGAATTAGAATGCACAACCACTCAACATTAAGCAACTTGTATGTGCAACTACAACTACTTGCTAGCTAGCTAGCTACCATTCAAAGTTACCACCATCACACATACACATTCTATCATAAGTATATTGATATAAATGTTATCATTTGCTTTTATTCCTCTTTCATCCTATTCCCTTTTATCACCAAACACACTCTCATGGAGGTTTCATGGGAACAAGGTGTCACCTATTCTATCAACACAATTTACCTTCTCTTCTCTGCTTACTTAGTTTTTGTAATGCAGCTAGGATTTGCCATGATATGTGCAGGATCTGTCCGGGCCAAAAATGCTATGAACATAATGCTTACCAATGTAGTTGATGCAGTGGTAGGTAGCATATCTTTCTATCTTTTTGGTTTTGCATTTGCCTATGGAAATTCCAACCCTTTCATTGGTACAAACTTGTTTGCTTTAGCTAACATTCCAAATGAAAATTATGACTATGGATTCTTTCTATACCAATGGGCTTTTGCTATAGCTGTAGCAGGTATAACTAGTGGATCTATAGCTGAGAGAACACAATTCAGTGCTTATCTTGTTTTTTCATTTTTTCTTACTGGCTTTGTGTACCCAATTGTGGCCCATTGGGTTTGGTCATCTAGTGGTTGGCTTAGTCCAAACTCAAGTGACTTGTTCTTGGGCACAGGTGCCATTGACTTTGCTGGGAGTGGAGTGGTGCATTTGGTTGGTGCCATTGCTGGACTTTGGGGATCTATTATAGAAGGTCCACGGGCCGGGCGGTTTGACGCTTATGGAAAGGCAGTACCTTTCCGTGGCCACAATGCCGCACTTGTGGTTCTCGGGACGTTCTTGTTGTGGTTCGGTTGGTTCGGGTTTAATCCTGGCTCGTTCGACAAAATTCTCGTGGCCTACCCTGGCACAATCGATGAAGGCAATTGGACATCGATAGGTCGAACCGCCGTGACAACTACATTGGCAGGCTCGACTGCAGGAATCGTCACTTTGTTCAGCCGTCGATTATTGATTGGCCACTGGGATGCAATGGATGTATGCAACGGTTTGATTGGGGGGTTTGTTGCCATCACATCCGGGTGCTCAGTTGTCGAGCCATGGGCCGCTATTCTATGTGGATTCGTCTCGGCTTGGGTGTTAATCGGGCTCAACATCTTAGCACTAAAACTAAACTATGATGATCCATTAGAGGCAGCTCAATTACATGGTGGATGTGGCACTTGGGGATTGTTGTTTACAGGGCTATTTGCCAAAGAGGAGTTTGTGGTTCAAACATATAATGCAGGTGTTGCAGTGAAAAGACCCTATGGTCTTCTACTTGGAGGTGGATGGGGTTTGATTGGAGCTCAAGTGGTTGAGATTTTGGTTATCTTTGGATTTGTTAGTATAACAATGGGACCTATGTTCTATGCCTTGCACAAACTTAAGCTACTTAGAATTCCTGTGGCTGATGAACTTGCTGGCCTTGATATATCAAGCCATGGAGGCTATGCTTATGCTCATCATGAAGAAAGTAATCCTCGTTCTTATGGAGATTATATGCGTATGCAACAAGATAATCAATCATAGTTTTGTTTAATATTGACATGTTTATATTTTGTAATATGTAAAAACAACTAGGTCTTGTTTAGCATTAATTATTTGGTTCAATCCTCTTTATTTCTAAAACAAAATGTAGGTGTTGTTATTTTTGAACAAATAGGGATTGTTAGGGTTGTCATTTTTTTAGCTATTATTAGGTCCTTAGTATTTCTCTCAAACTCTTAAATTATCGAAAATGACTCTTTCATATAGTTGGAATTCTAAAATTTGAACGCACCCAATGCACAAATAGCGTTCAAAGTGTAGAATTTTGAATGTGTTTCAAGTGAGCTTGAGCACTCTTATAATATGAATTGCATCCGAATTTCAAAATTTTTCAGATTTCAAAATTCAAACAGATTATTTGTGCATTTGACACGTTTCTAGTAAATTTAAACTCTAAATGAAAATGATCCGAATTTCAAAATCTTGAATGTGTGAGAGAGACATTTTGAAAGTAATACTTGTAAAAGTGCAATAAACAACTTTCTATTACTATAATCTAAGGTGCAGAAAAACTGACATTTATACATTTGAAAATAAAGTAATAAAGCTCAAAGAAATGAACAGTATCTGTACTCCATTTTTCAAGAGACTTGTTGGACTCACAAGGCAGACATGAAAAAAGAAATGGGCATTAAAGTCAAAATGTGATCAAGATATGGACATTTAACCTCTTGTTTAAGCAATCTTTCAAACAAGTATCAAAATATCTTGAAAAGATAGAATCTTATCTAGTGGATGGAGCCTACACATCAAATAAATGTGACACAGTCCCTTTCCCATCATTGTCATTTTGTACGCATAATGGATAATTAATTAAGTAAATTAAATTGCCATAGCAAAGGATAAGGTTACTGTTCTTTTTTTAATTCTTCGTCTCAATCCTAAGAACATTATTATAATATATAACAGAGAATAACCAAAATACCCCTGTTGTTGTGTTTGAATTCTATGTTAATGTTAGAAATAAAATATATCAACTTGAAGCTGAAAGTGAAGAAAACAGTAGAATATATATACATTTTAATTATGATCCAAATGTTTACATGTACAATTTGAGGGCAATATAGAGATTTGAAACCTCTAGACAACCCTTACCTATAAAATGGATCATAGGAAACATGTCTGGGATCTGGAATAATAAGAGGTAACTTTTCTATGTAAAGAAACAGAATCTTACAATTCTCTTTGAAAATTGTTCCAACATCAACTATATCACTTGTGTCTGTGTAAATCCAAAGGTCCTCAGAGTTTACTCTCTTTAGGCTATCCCGGCAAAAGGGGCAAGATTGAGACCTAAGACACCTGAATAAAAAAAATCAACATTGTCATGTTTGAAACAATGAATGTAGACTAAGTTAGCAACTAATTACTATTTAATATTCTTAACGTGTCGGTCAAGTCAACTAATACAAGTAAAAAAGTTTTGGGTAGGTGAGGGGGTGCAATTTGTCAGTGATTTCAAAAATATTAAGTTATGTTCAAAAGTATTTAGATTGAAAGTGTATTCAATGTCTGACTAAGATCTAGTGTTCAAGATGCATCATTTATTTGATGTCCAATGTCTGACTAAGGTCTAGTGTTCAAGATGCATCATTTATTTGATGTCCAATGTCTGACCCGTTCTAGTGTTTAAGATGTGTTATTATTTGACATTCAATGATGTCTTACGCATGTCCACTGTTCAAGATGCATTATTATTTGACGTCTAATGTCTGACACGTGTCTAGTGTTCAAGATGCGTTAATATTTGACATTCAATGTCTAACACTTGTCCGGTGTTCAAAATGCATTATTACTTGACGTTTAATGTTTGACATGTGTCTAGTGTTCAAGATGTGATACATGTGTCTAGTGTTCAAGATGCGATATTATTTGACGTCACGTGTCTAGTGTTCAAGAAGCTTTATTATTTGATTTAAATTGAAAACAAAATAACAATTTCATAACTAAAAGTGAAAATATTAAATAAAAAAAATCTCAAACCAATCTCTAAAGGGCAAAGAGGGAGGTCATTGTTGAAAAACATAAAAGCGATGGCTAGCTTTTGATAAAGTAAAAGCAAATGGATATCAATCTTTGAATTCATGAGGCTTCAATTTCAACTTTAGTGACTAAAATGTTGGATAGGGAATTCAGGATCCTTGCCTCAAAAAGACCAATAAAAAGATTTTTTTTTCATTGATATCAAAGAAAACTCAATCATGGATATCATTTAAGTGATTAACAAGAACATAACGACAACATTATAACTCCATTAACCAAAATGATGAAAGTCAGATATAAACTTGGTCTTATGTAACAAAAAATCAAACACTGTGACACCAACAACGACACCTCTGAAAAAATGTGACACCGACAGTGACACTGTGATTACATTCAATTTATTCATTTTTTTCAAATTATTAGAGGTGTTACCGTGTCAATGTTGGTGTCATGTCTGGATCCATGTTTCATAGGTCAAAAATATGATCAATGTGATATACAAATATAACTGGAAAGAATCTAAGATGAATGAGAAAGTATGGAGAATCGTACCAGTCTGTGTAACATTCAAAGCACATTTGGTGGCAACAATTAGGCAACACAACTTTAGCTTTAACCTCCAAGCAAACTCCACATTCTTGTTCTCTTTCAATGTCAATTTCAGATTCTCTTCTATCTTTTATACCAGTCTTCTTTTGGTATCTAATAGCATATACTTCTTTCTGTTTCCTTTCTTCCAAATCTGTGATGCCTTTCTGAAGTTGCAATAGAGCAGGAAATATAACCGCTGTTTATCATCAGCAAAAGAGAAAAATCATGTTTAGTATGTTTTGACTATTATCATCAAGAACATAAAAATGGATTCTAGTATACATTCAGGTTTAACAACGTTAAACTTACAATAAAATTGTCTTATACTTGCTTTCCTTTCATATATTGAAATTGTAGTTTTCCCATTTCCATATGTCTGCATTAATGTAGATTAAAACATTGTTAAATTATCTATAAACAGATAATTCCAATATAAGTACCAAACATGAATATTATGGAAGGACCATTATTGTTATTTGTGGACATAGCAGAAAATAGCAGCATGTTTTAAACTCCACAGCACTACTACTACGGTACTATAGTTCTGCTAAGCCGCTATTTGACAGCACTAACAAACATTGATAAAACATCAGACACTACACCTGACACGACACGACACGATACAAGAGACACTTATATACGACAAACACTGATACTGATACGACAGTAGTACAAATGTGTCACCACGGATAAATATTCGAAGAAATAAATTAATTGATTGCAATCAGTGTAATTTTAGACACATGTTTGACCCCTGACACATATCAGAGACAGAGACACCGGACACGTCTCGGACACACAATTCAGACACGGATACTCCTGACACACGTTTCACACCAGCCACACATTTTAGACACCGGACACATGTTTGACATTAAACACACATTTCAGACATAGATACCGGACACGTGTTTGACACCATACACACATTTTATCAGAAGCGTGTGCTGTGGACAAATAAATGAAAGAAAATTGAAAATAGACATACAAGTATATATAAAATATGGTTTATAAAACATACCACAAAAATTAGAATTCTGAGCAAACCAAGAGCACCAGCAAGTCGGTAATCAGTCCATTGAACAAGAGAGAGGAAAAGTGGAGCCACTGGACTGTATGATAGCCTCATCTGAAAGCATCCTCCTTCTTTACCCCTTGGATGCTCTAATGCCCTGAAAAACATATAACAGTAAAAAAATTCTCAAAATTCGGATTTCGACCTCACAAAAACAAAAACATCATGAACAAGAATTGCATATCATCTCATACTCAAACATAATTTTCAACAAAACAAAACAAATTACAAATATTATACTGGATAAAACGGATCAAGAAACACAAAAAAACACCTTGAAATTGCTCCAAAAGCACAAAACAACCACAAATTGTTCCCAAAAAATTTCAAATTTTAATTCTGAAATTAAGACAAAAACATACATTTTTACATGGTTCTGAAGCTGAATTTTCAACGAAACAGAAATCCTAACAAACTGGATGAAAAGAAATTGAAACATACAGTGTATTAGCATACTGAATATCAGCTTCTAGAGCTTTGAGAGATTCTTGAAACAAACTCTTTCCCATACCCAAATTTTTCACTGAAAATAAATATCTTAACGCATGCAGCTTATGAAATTCTCAGAGAATCGAAACATCTATATATAATTTATATATGCATATCAATTTATTTGACTTTTGTAATGACGATTTTACCCTTTTCCCTTTGCTGATTTGCTAATGGTTTTGGTGTTAGTGGGGCACCGCGTTCGAGAATGGATTAGATTATATTGAAAGACGGTTTTGTCCTTTGATGTAAAAAGGATAATAATTATATTTTTATATAGAAAAGGAAAGTAATAATAAAGATGGAAATAGTATGTGCATGAATGTTTCTAATATTGTGATTAATTAATATTGTGGATAATGTTGCTTTTGTTTTGTGTAATACGTGGGCTATAACGGTTTTAATCTACCATTTTATTTTTATTATTGTTTTGTATTATTTAAGATTCTCCTACTTTATTTGGAGAGTCATGATCACGTGGCACAAATAGTGACATTTTAACAACTTTGGAAAATAAATAAATGGATTTATCAAAAATATGAGTAAGATAAGTTATGGTTAAATGTGATAACCTTTATTTTTTTTTCATACATTTTTTTTTTAATTTCATACTCTCCGATAGAGTTGAACAGTCGCATTTAAATATTTTTTGAATTAACTGATAGTTTCGTAATTGATAACTATAGCAGTAATTAATAGTTAATAGTTTATATTTGATGATTAGTACTTGAGTGTTTGATAAATTAATTTTTATAGTAGTTGATAAATATAAAATTATATAAAAGGATATTTATATTAAGAAATAGATGGTTTATTTATTTATTATATTACTATTATATTGTATTATTATACATTAGTTTGATTTTTATTTTAATTATTAATAAAGTAATATTTATGAGTTATTGTGATATATTGATGATGTAAAAAAATTTATATTGATAGTGCATGATAATTAATCTCTTAAATTAATTTTTATTTGATAAAAATAAATGTATTAATAAAAACATGCAAAATAATTTTAATATATATACAAAATTGAAGATAACATCAAAATATATTAAATTTGTATATAAATTTTAGGGAAAATGTCATTTTTCGTCCCTTAACTTTGCTTCGGAGTCCATTTTGGTCTCTTATCTTTTAAAAAGTGCAAAACAATCTCTTTTGTCTTAAAATCGAAGCATGTATCTGTTAGTGAGGTGCAAAATGTTTAAATATGTGGCATGGCTGATGTTACGTGGCAATTACATGGTAGGTGTTTAACTTTTGTGAACAAACACAACATTTATACCTTGAATTTCTTCGCTCAGAGAGAGAACTTGAAGGCGAACCGTCGTTTGTGCAAAACAAGAACCATCGTTCAGTGAAGATCATTTGAAGGTGACCCATCGTTGCAAACAGGTTAGATATCTGATGATCTGTATAAGTTCTGATATGAGTTAGGGTTTTCTGATAAATCTGTTGTTTGCATGTTTTCAAAATAAAAAATTAGGGTTTTCTGCTAAATCGTTTGTTTGCATGTTTTTCAAAATGAGAAATTAAGGTTATCTGCTAAATCGTTTATGATACATGTTTTTAATCTGAGTAATTAGGGCGTGGTTGACAATAGGGTTTATTGAATAAAATTCATTTTGAATTGCCTAGGTGAAATGGAGGAGTATATTGTATTAACAATTCATCATAATGGTGAATTTGTTAGTGGTGATCTTAGGGTGTATGAAGGAGGGGAAGTTGTTGAATTAGAAATAGATGTTGACACAAAGGCAATTAGAGTAAGGTTTAAAGTTAGAGATATGGTTGATGGATCATTCCTAGGGAATTACACCAGAATCTATAATTACTGTCATGAGTTGTTAAGATCAAACCAAGGTTCCACAATGAAGGTTGGTGTTGAACCAACTCAAGAAGGTTTAGATATGCAAAGTCAACATTTCAAGAGGTTGTATATATGCCTTGCAGCATGTAAGGAAAGCTTCAAGTTTTTTAGGCATGTAATAGGTTTGGATGGTTGTTTTCTTAAGGGTCTCTATGGAGGGCAAATATTGGCTGCTATAGGTAGGGATTCAAATGATCAAATGCTACCTATAGCATTTGCAGTAGTGGAAGGAGAAAATAGGGACAGACTGTCAAGATAAATTATGTCACACTATCAAGATAAACTACTCAAGGAGCACTTCTCAGGTTTCAAGCACTATGGTACAAATCTACACGTTAAACTTGTATCACTGTCACGTTATTCCGAACTTCCTACCCTCTAACAAACATCCCTTTGTCTCTATATATTATTCCCAATCTCTATGAAATACAAACTCTTGAGAAAAATAACATAAAAAAATTGGTCCAAATTTGGGACGGACTTCAACTCGTGGATTTACACCACAATTAGCAAATAGCCAACATAATAACTCAAAAAGAAAAGTAGTAACCCCCCCCCCCCCCCCCCCAAACATAAACTAAACATTGACCCCCATGTTTAAGAACAAGCTCGAGAAAGGTGACTCACAGAGGGTACTACAACATCAGCTGCTACTTCCTAGCTCTCACCAGTAAGGCTCCCTTTTTATTACCTGTAAATAAAACAAAAAGAAAAACTAAGTTATTAAAAGCGTGGGTTGCCTCCCACTAAGTGCTTTGTTTAACGTCGAATGGCTTGACAGTTCTTCCCTTTATGAGGGGTACTTCCTCTTCCACACCTTATTGTTTGTCCTTTCCGCAACCTAGAACTCATTCAGATCAAAAGTATCAACCTCTTTGTGCTTCCAGCCACTTTCCATCTTCTCAGGTCGGTGTTCCTTCTTCTTTCTTTTCTTTCCTTCCTAAGTGAGCTTAAGAATTTTTATTGATACCACCTGAGAGATTATGCCTGAGACTTCTTCTGGGAGTGATTTTGAGATTTTGCTTTCTCTTTCTACTTTGATCATACCAACTGAAGATTTATTCTTTCCACATGCACCTTACTTCTTGACTTCCAACACCTTCAAGGTTATCTCCTCATCAAATGATTTCAGTGTCAGATTACTTGTCTCGATATCAAAATTGCATCGACTAGTAAGAAGAAATGGTCAATCAAGAATGATAGGAGTCTCTTTATCTTCAGGAATGTCCATGATCTGGAAATCTACTGGAAAAACAAAATTGTCAATTTCCACCAATACATATTCATCTATCCCATATGACTACTTGATGGTATGATCAACAAATTTCAATTTTGTCCTACTCTTGCTTATCTTCTCAATACCCAGCTTTTTGAAAATAGACAATGGCATCAAACTCACACTAGAACCAGAATCAATTAGAACCCTCTTGAATTTTGTCTTTTATGGTGCACGGTATTGCAATAGATCCCAGATCCTTCTTCTTGATAGGAATTTTTTTCTCGGGTATGATTGCACACATTTTCTCATCAACAGGTACCTATTCATCTTCTATTGGTCTCTTTTTTTAAAGTACCTCTTTCATGAATTTCTGGTACAAGGGTATTTTCTCGTCTGCTTCAAAGAACGGTATGTTGATCTTCAGCTTTTTTAAAAATTTGACAAATTTATCAAACTCTTTCTCTTTCGTGTCCTTCTTTGACACTCGAGATGGACACGACAACTTGATCGTTGGTTTAGTCTTCTCTTCAACTGGATTTACAGGTGATACCATTTCTTCCTGTTTTTTCTTGTTCTCTCTCACTTCCAGATCTACTTCTATGATACTATCATCAAATTTTACCTCATCTTTCTTTTCTTCAGCAGCTTTCTCATTCCTTGTTGTGACAACATTAACATTCTCATAATTTTTTTGATTTTCTTGTGCTCGCAGCGCTACCTGTTGTGCAATCTGTCCCATTTGAAATTCAAATTTTTTTATTGTAGTTGTGATTACTCCTTGTCTCTTCTTGAAATTGAGAGGTGTGGGCAGCCATTTTTTCAATAGCCACCTCCCACTCTGTCTTCTGATGAGCTTATTGCTACTGGTCTTTCTAGGAGAAGTTAGGATAATTCTTCCACCCAGGATTATAGATGTTAGAATATGGGTTATTTTGCTTCAAGAATTTTATCCTCTCAATTTGTTGTGGAGTTTCAAGACATTGTACAGTAATGTGTAGTCCACTACAAATTTCATAAACAATCTTTTGTATCAGTTGAACCTGAGCTACCTATTGAGTACCCATGTTCATTGCTTTCAGCCTTTTCTCTACTTATGCAACAATTGCTTCTTCAATTTTCAGTTGCTTATTAATTTCTAATTTCAGATCAATTATCCCCTCTGGTTTACTCACAACCCTATCATATAGCTTCAGATGCTCATTTGCAGCAATGGCTTCAATAATTTTCTTTGCACTAGTGGCTATTGTAAAGTTGGATGAGCCACCGACTACTGTATCAATAAGTTGCTTTGTCTTTATTCGGAGGCCATTCACAAACATCTGCATTTTCTCTATTTGATTCATGTTATGCGTGGGATAAGCTACCATTAACCTATTGAACCTCTTGTAAGCATCACCTAGTGACTCTCCTTCTTTCTGCTTAAAATTCACAATTTCATATATTTTGCGAATGTAACAGAAGCAGGAAAGTATTCATCAAGAAAAATCTTCTCCATCTGTTCCCAAGTGGTGATACTTCTAGCAGGCAATGAGTAAAACCACTATTTAGCATCTTCACACAGCGTGAAAGGAAACATTCTCAATTTCTTTGCCTCTTTAGAGTTCCCCTCAATTTTTAAAGTAGTACTCATGGTGAGGAATATCTGCAAGTGTTTGTTGGCATCTTCATTGATCCTTCCAGTGAAAGACCTGTTCTCAAGTTGTCAGATTGTTGAAGGGTACAACTGAAAGTTTGCAACAGTAACTGGTTGATTCACAATAGTCAACCACCTCCATAATACCTAAGAAATCTCTCTGGTGGTGGTGGGTTTTCACCCATAGTTTCGGGTTCTGATTCTGAACCTAAGTATGTATATCAAAAGGAAATTCAGCTGGGGGCTTTCCTCGCATGTAAAGGTTAGGAAAAATCAATAATAACAAAAATAT